AAGCGTCTGCTAAATGACTAAATGTAAATGTAATGCTTTTATTCAGCAAATATGCAATCAATTGGTCAAAAGTGACAGTAAAACATATATATATAACATTACAAAAGATTTCATTTAAAATAAACACTCCTTTTGAACGTTCTAATCCTGAAAAAAAGGTTCCACAAAATATTAAGCAGCAGAACTGTTTTAACATTAATAATAAGAAGAACCATTATTAATAATAACTAAGCACCAAATAAGCATATTAGAATGATTTCTGAAGGATCATGTGACACTAAAGACTGGAGAAATGACTGCCGAAAATTTAGCTTTGCATCACAGGAATAAATTACATTTTAAAATATATTCAAATAGAAAATAGTTTCAAGAAAAACATGCTATGAAACAAGGTGATTTCACTTACTTTTATCTTTTACAAAACCCCTGCACAAATCATAAATGCATTTAATACAAGTTTCATCTGCCTCCAACAGCTGTTGTGGAAGTCATGAATATGAAGCTTCAGCAGCTGCACAGCCAACAGGCATCACAGTCTGGCACCACTAAAGCCTAAAACGGTTCCAAGCAGCATGGCAAAAAATTCTGGGGAGATCCTGAGCGTTTAACTTTCAGATGGATCCATTCTGAACACTTGAAATGGAGAACCACTGCTCTGATGTCAATATGTTCACATCTCCTTGGGAGGAGAAGGACATCCAGCACTTTGCCTGCATCAAACAACTAATCAATTCTTCTGTTGCATGTTTTCACTCTCATGTTTAGTGAACAAATGAAGCATTGGGCACAGCCTGGCTGTATCCACAAAGCCTCCCAGCACTGGGATTAATGTCTTTGGAGGAGATTTACTTTGTGGCACAACATAGCTTTGTGGCAAACATTTGCCGTGGATTTTTTTTATACATCAAATATTTTGAATGCAAATATTTACATCTGAAATCGGCTAAAGAAAAAGTTCTTGCTTTTCTAAAAGCGAATTTACAGAAATGTACAAGTATCTGCATTTCATTGCTAGTATTTTCATGTGTGAAAACAATAAAAGAAATAGTTTGATTTGTTGTCCCAAGCAGATGAGTTACTAGTCCATGTTACAGAGAGCAGAAATGTTATGACTACTGTGAAATGTTTGTCCAATTTTCCACCCATGCTGAAAAAAATTAAAAGTTGACATTTAAAACCTGACACTACATCATTTGATACATTTATGTAAATTTACTTATTCTGTGTAGACCTCTGAAGACAATTATCTAGACTTATGATGTGTGTGTATATCTCACATGCAGGACTTGTTGAAAGTTTGTAAACAATTACAATCTTTAAATATTTTAATGAAGTCTCTTATGCTCACCAAGGCTGCATTTAGGTGCTCAAAATAAAATAAAACACTAATATTGTGAAATATTATTCAAATTTAAAATGACTGTTTTCTATTGTAATATATTTTAAAATGTAATTTATTCCTGTGATACAAAGCTGAATTTTCAGCAGCCATTATTCCAGTCTTCAATGTCACATGATCCTTCAAAAATCATTCTAATATGCTGATTTGCTGCTCAAAAAGCATTACTTATTATCAATGTTGAAAACAGTTGCGCTGCTTTATATTTAAGCAGACACCATGATGTAATACCATTCAAATCTTTGGGGTATGTGTGTGTGTTTACATTAATTAGCACTTGCATATTATTGCTCTTTTGTTGGTTTTGATTGCTTCTATTGTCCTCATTTGTAAATCATTTTGGATGAAGCGTCTGCTAAATGACTAAATGTAAATGTAATGCTTTTATTCAGCAAATATGCAATCAATTGGTCAAAAGTGACAGTAAAACATATATATATAACATTACAAAAGATTTCATTTAAAATAAACACTCCTTTTGAACGTTCTAATCCTGAAAAAAAGGTTCCACAAAATATTAAGCAGCAGAACTGTTTTAACATTAATAATAAGAAGAACCATTATTAATAATAACTAAGCACCAAATAAGCATATTAGAATGATTTCTGAAGGATCATGTGACACTAAAGACTGGAGAAATGACTGCCGAAAATTTAGCTTTGCATCACAGGAATAAATTACATTTTAAAATATATTCAAATAGAAAATAGTTATTTGAAATTGTAATATTTCACAATATTACTGTATTTTTGATCAGTAATAGCCTATACTTCACTAAAAACATTTAAAATTCATAATGAAGGGCATAAGCATTAACCAATCTCAAATGACACAAAAATAATAAAGAGTTGTCATCAGTTTAGGTGGAGGACTGCTGTAATTACGTGTGTATTATTCGCTGTGTCATGGTTAGCAGTTGCCCGGCTGCAGTTTCGCTGCGCGTCTGTCGCTATGCGGCGCAGCGCGTGTTGCGCTCTGTTGCCAGGGAAGAGCTAGCGCGATGGAGGGGGTGCTCGCTGCTCGCATTGTCTGTCGGGACGGTGGCGGTGAATGTCTTCCGTCTGTCAGAAACGCTCGCTGATGCCCATTAAGGCTTATTAGTGTATAAAGTAACGTTAGACCCGTACTGGAGATAGATTCGCAAGCGTCAGTGATCCTTTTTCTTCCTTCCTTCATTCGTTGAGTTTCTGAAACGGTAAGACAAACCGACCCTAACTAGCTAGAGCAAGCGCTTGTTGCGTTCAGCCGGCGAGAGGAGGAGAGGAGTGGCGGATCGGGCGAGGAGGCGCACGGCGCTTGATCGCAGAGCCAAAGGCGGCCGATGACTTCGGAGAGCAGCAGCCAAGCGCAACAGAAGGAGGAGGTCGAGCCGGGATCAATCGCCCGAGATCAAGAGGAGAAAACCGGAGAGGACCAAGGCGGCATGGTGAGCTCAGGCCTGCGGTGCTGAATCGGCACTTAACCCCTTAACCCCCCTAAACGCGACGTGACTGTGTGGTAACTTTTCGTTTATAATGCAGCACGTCCATATTTAGAGCAACGTGTTTAGACCACAGAGTGACTGTTTAGCGAAATGGTAAGCACTAGTATGTAACGTTACTTGCAATACGTTGACAAACTACCTGTGTCCTTGCGCGCTAACCAGATTGTCAGGTCGTTTGCAAATGAAGTATCGATCCACTGGCTACTCGGCTTTAAGTCGGACATCGGTAAGACGACATTACTAGGCAACATAAACTAAATATATTGCCACAAAGGCTTCGTCTGCGCATAAATTACATAGCACGTGTTCATATCCTGGTCAGCGGAGCTGTAAATGAGCAATGATTTCATGACTTTAGGACGCGTGACACAAATTAATGTTGAATACTTTTCTATTACTACGGGTTAATGTCATTTGGAAATTAATTAAACTACATCATGACCACATGACAGTTTGCTTTAGGTTATAATTAACTACTTTTTTTTTAACCATGCGAACTTTGTTTCGAGTTGCTTGAGTAATAATGCTGGGTATAATTGTTAAAGAAAAGCATTTCCATTTAATAATCTATATTGATAAAAAAAAATAGCATTTTAAAAGATTAAAACCTGATTATAAATTAAATGTATTAAATAGTTGTCATATAAAGCAATGCTGATGATATTCTTGTCTAACAAATCAAGCAGTAGGACGTGTTTTTCCATTTGGACATGGTTTAATTTCTAGCTGTGACTCACATTTGATTACAGGTATATTATACATTAATCAGGCACATACTGCTGTTAAAGATTTGCTTAGATTCTTGTATCATGCCTGTGTGAATGACGTCAGTGGTCATTTGTTGAGTATTAAATAGGCTTAAGTGGCTTGGTCATTGGAATGAATGTTTTAACATGGTGAGGAAAGTCAGCTTTAACATAAAAACCCTTCATTTTACCTATAAATGCACCATTATGATGCAGTGATGCTATTCATTGGTAATAATGTGGTAATAATATTAAATATAATATTAAAAGGATACTTGTGTCAGATGTGGACTTGCAACAAAATGAAGTGGATTAAGGTTTGTTTCCAGTTTCTGTCCTAGATGTGCCAAGTCTGTTCTGCAGGAGTCTCTCTGAAAGATCAGAATTATGCAGACATCAGTATAACCTGTGAGAATCCTTTGAAAGCATTTTGACTCCAAGGCCCCCCATTGTCCACAACAATATTTAATGGCTCCATGACTTTTCCAGATGATCATGATTTACGTTCTTTCTTTCTCGCGCTCTCTCTGTGCCCCACTTTATTAATTATGGCATTCAGTCATCTGAATTGTCACTTACCACAATGACAGCATAAAAAAGTGAATGTCAGCCTGGAGAAATTACTATAAATTATAAACAGCAAAAACAAACTTTGAATGAAAGGAAGTTTTCAAAGATTGTTTTGAGACTGAATATGTAGGCCTACTAAGTCTGAAAGGAGATTTGAAATTTCAAGGAATGTAGGCCTGCCTAGCTAGGCGATTGCTAAAGTGTTCAGAGTTGTTTATATGCAGCTGAGAGTGCTCTGCATGTTTGTTGGGGCATTGCTAGGTGGTTGCTGGGTAGTTGCTAGGAAAGAGAGAGAATTCCTAACTAAAGTTTGTACAATAACATCATTAAAGTGTCTCATTGTCACATCACACTTCATATTCATGATCACATTAATACTGTTGTCCAGTTGTAAATAGATAGTTGTTCATGATAAAGATTAAGGATAATAAGGATTTTTTTAAAAACAGCTTGTACTCAAAATTTCTACCCTGAAAAATATTTCAGAGTTCGCCAAAACTAGAAAAATGTATATTCATATTAAAAATGCCCATTACTCTTTACAGTTTTATTACTTTACATGTCTTCTGCAGGTCTAGAAATTATACTTTTAAAAGAAGGCTACCTTTACCTATTACATTTGGGAGGTTTTTGAGGAGGTGCATTAAAGCAAGAAATATCTTGTTGCTTAGTTGTGTTATCTTATTTTAATGCTTTTACTCCCTAATTTTAAAAGTAATTTCGAGGCTACCTAAGAAGTTTGCTCAGGCCCCATAGTGGGCTCCAGCCCAATGCTTGAGAACCTGTTTTTAAAGGGGTCATATGATGTTGCTAAAAATAACATTATTTTGTGTATTTGGTGTAATGAAATGTGTTTATGTGGTTTAAGGTTCAAAAAACACATTATTTTCCACATACTGTACATTATTGTTTATCCTCTATGCCCTGCCTTTCTGAAACGCGTCGTTTTTTTACAAAGCTCATCGGTCTGAAAAGCAAGGTGACGGAAATGTTACACCCTACCATACTGTGATGATGCCCTGCCTGGCCGGAGCGATGACTCAAAAACATGAAAACCCATTATAAACGAGGCATTCGTTGCATCCAGTGGGGACATAATTACAGATTATAATGACTTATACAAGAATATCTCTTTGAATTTGAGACTTTAGTCTTAGCAACTTTACAGATCTTCTTTATGCACCAAGAGCTTGTAACACTCCAAAGAGAAAGGAAAAATTGAAACCGCATCATATGACCCCTTTAAACTTTCCTGTGTAAATTCAGAATAAAATACAATCCACTTTGGTTTCTGAAAAGCTAGTGTAGATCAAGATTCCCAGAGTTACAATTCCAGCAGTAGAAAATGTAACTTTTAGGAAACTATGGACTTTCGTAAATAATTACATAAACATGAAGTATTGTTTAATATTGTTTTGAGTAAAATAGCATACTTTAATATTTTGTCTGACTGACTATTAAACCACTTTTTATTAGAAAGTTCTAGAAGACTTTATATGGTGATTTCAGCTTTTGTCGTCTTACCCTGCATTCCAATGCGCATACTATCCACCCTATCTGCCCTAAATAGTATTGAAAATTACTAATAGCACAGAATTTAGGATGGATAGTAATGCACACTAGGACGTAGGCTCGGTTTGTTCTGCATTAGTCTTCAACAGCGAATAATTGCATTGAGGTCCAACCACCAGATTGTCCGTGATCTGAATTGGGCGTTCCTAGGACTATTCGGTGCTTCGTGACACAATGATATTAGACACCGTGTCATACAGCCAGGGGCGTAATTTCCACTGGGGACAGGGGGGACATGTTCCCCCCCACTTTTCAAAATCACGTTTGTGTCCCCCCCACTTTCAAATTCGTTTGTTATGATTTTTTTCACCGCACGCCGTCATCGCCACAGAGGAGCAGGACCGAGCAGGGCACAGACGCGCGCGGCCAGGAACGTCTCGTGCACACTCTAAAAATAGCTCACTGAAAGTTCTAATGAGCAGGTATCGCGGTTGCGGCACAGTCAGCTTTTTAAACATCAATATTTTATTTATAAAGATAAAAAATGCTTTGGAAAGTCAATTTCGGCCAAATATTGTCCTTTAATGGAAAAGGTGCAGTCTAAGTGGAAGAGAGGGGGTACGCAGAAGGACGGTAAATGCCTCAGGGGGTACTCCACTCTAAAAAGTCTGGGAACCACTGATGTAGAACATTCTGTCCTGTGCAACAAGTGATTTATTTTATATTTTCAGGTACAGCGGTTAGTTTGAAATAAAAGTTTGCATAACAGTGGAAATTGAGTCTCACATTATTTAAACATTATTCAAAACATTAATGGTGAACATTTTCGACTTTATAAAATGATTCTCTCAAGTCTTGGCGATTGGCCCCTATTAAACAATAAAGAAAGTAAGACGTCTTTTTCTTATACATAGTTTAGTAGTCATAGTTTTGGCAGAATTGATCATTAATCAACTTAATTATTTCCTGGAATTTGTATCACCATAGTCCCTAAATGTATGTACATGCAGGAAATGGGATTCAAATCGAAAACATTTTCCCTCATTTTGTGCCCCCCCCACTTCTCAAACCAAAGTTACACCCTTGCATACAGCAACACAAATTTCATCCTTAACGGCCGTTTCATTGTTTCGGAATGTAACGTTATTTGGAAATTGTTCATTTTAACCTCATTCATTCATTCATTCATTTTTTTGTCAGGCCTGTACAGCATTTGTTTCAGCTGTCGCCACGTGCTCAGCAGTGATCTCGGTGGCAGAGGTTGTAGTTCCGGTAACTTGAAGAGAAGTTTGACAGACGTAAGCCCGCTCCAATCATACGGAGATTCGTTATGACGTATTCCATCACGCACCAATCCTATAACGGTGGGCGGGAATGCTGCATGTGATCACAAAAGAGGCAAAGGAAAGACTAGCGCACGGCCAATCAGACTCGTTAAGCGCCGTATGGATGCTTACGCAGAGCAAAGGGATTGATGCAGATGATGAGTGGCCGGGAAACTCTTTGGCTGTGAACTTGCACTTTTGCTTTAAACGGAAAGTAGAATCCGGTGCCGCGTTATTGTGAGCTAGGTTAATTCGCCTACTGGTAATCTAACGAGTGATAACGTTGTCGGGGGAGAAGACCATGCTGTTGTTTGTGGAGGTGAGTTAATGAGGTCATTCTGGCGACCGCGAAGGTTTTTCACAGCTGCGGCATGGGTTCAGCTCGATGGCGCCTGCCATGAGTTCAACAAGGAGAAGAATTTGTTGTGGTTTTGTAGTGCAGTCATAATTTTTCTTATAGTTTTTTTTACTTTAAAGTGACTAGTTAGCGATAAGCAACATTAGTTAAGATGCTATGTAAGACTTTGTTTATGCGTACGCGAACTGACCGTCGACAGCGAAAGATCCACGTGCGCGCGACAAATGCTAACGTAGCTATTTAGCCAGCGTCTTTTATTTGCGCAAAATACGTAACTTTTATCGGTGCGGATCGCAACTAAAGCGAAGACCGCATGAAACACTGAAGGCATCCACGAATTGCCTCGGCTTTTAATTTAACCTTTAGTTCAAAAATAACTTTAACCCGTCCAAATCCAATAAAGCGCTAGTCAGGTTAACCAGGCTGCGTTTCAGATGCAGGTTTGTGGCTCTTTGCTCTAAACTCTCGCTCTGGTTTATCAGATTGGCTAATCAGATTAAATGGGTGAAAGGCCGACTATTTAAAACCTCCTGCCTGTGTGCATGGAGTGTCGCGTCGGGTAAGTAATAGATCTTGTGAATAAGGTTCATCCCTGATCGAGGGCAGTAGTGTAAAGTATGGAGAAGTTGTGCGCAGTTATGGTTTTTAAACTCGTCAAGTGTGTTAATAGTTAGTGCCCATGCCTGTCCTGTGGTGTTTCTATTCCTTGCTCTTCAGACGTCCTTGTGGCTGTAGTGCAACGTTTCATTTGATTAGATAGATGTAAGTTATATTTTACATAATTCGACTTTTACTTTACAGCAAGGTGGAAGCGGTGTTGTAATATGTGCCTCAGAGTGTCATGTGGAACTTTGATAGCGTCCTTTCTGTTGTTAACCCTTGAGAGACACCCCCCCCCAGTGAAAGTGACTATAAAAGTAGTTTTTTAATCATTTTTTGAGTGAATGTTTGCATTTTTGCAGCGTTTTTCCAATGTTGTGTCAAATCATTTACAATATTTTATCTATGTATTCCTGAATGGGCTCCATTATGTTACTAATAAAGAAACCCATTGACTTTTGTAGCCCACTGTTGCATTTTTGGTGCACTTTAAAATGTCTTTTATGCAAGTTGATATTGAGAAGAATGTTATCATTTTGTAATCACTTAACATGTTGTGTATTGAGAAACTCAAGTCAGATACTTGTAATGTTGTTACCAAAGTGTTTGCTGTTTTGTCCATTATCAGTGATTGTTCAACAGCGGTGACTAGCAAGCTTTAAGTAGATGCTGCTAATGTGTATTCAGATTTCAGAAGGCAAGTTTTTCAGTGTTTTTTTTCTTTTTTTTGTGGTTACCCTCCCACCATACTGTGAAACATGGTGGATAACTATTTGCCTAATACACTGATGCCTAACTACATTGTTGCCTGTTCATTAAACATGAACTTTGATTAATTTGTGCTACGGTAGATGGCTGTCTATTTCCGATGCATGGTAATAGGTAGATAAATGATCAGCAATGTTCTACTTAATAGTCTTACAATTCAGTTTAAATTAAGCTACAGTTAAATGTTGACACATTTCTGCTGATTTTATTCTATTTTGATGTGTAAATCTTAACTGTAAATTTTTTTTACTGTATTAACCCAGAATTTGTTTAACCTTGTCTTCAAGGTGACCACCAAGGGGGCCAGTCTGAATCCCAATGCTAAAGTGTGGCAGGAAGTGTCTGCACCAACCACCCAGGCTGCAGAGGCAGCCACAGAAACGTGCCTTTGGCCACAAGCAGATACTGTCTCCACAGAGGAGTCGGAAGGTACGTATCTTGATTGCCATTTGTTTAGTGCTGTAATTAAATGTGGAAAAATTGACTTCATGTTGAAAATGTTCAATATTTACATGTCATTCAAAACCCATATGCTTTGAGTTATGTGGAGAACTTAAGAGATTTTTTTCTACACACTAGTTCATCTACTTGGGAAATGGCTAGATTGATTGCAAGTGTTGTTGGCAGCTGCGGCCATTTTGGAGTGTCATGTTAAAGTTTGCTAAAACCCAGTGATGATCAGTATCGCGCTTGGAAGGACCCAGAACCATTCTCACTGTAGAGATCTTTCATTCTCATTTCTCCTCTATCTCACTCTCTCCATTGTTCTTTTTCAGTCTCTTTCTCTAATTCTCAAGCTAAATTTCTTGCTCATTCTCTCAGTGGAGTGTGTCTGCCCTAATGACCGTGAGATTATGAGATCTGAGGGTTAAATGGCCTATCGCTGTTCTTACATAAGTGATCAGTAAGCTTCTAAACTCATTTACTACTGTCGTTTCTCCTCTGTAGGTTTCAAGGAGTATGGTGTTGGCTATGGTGACTCTGAGTCAGCCCCTCCTATGGAGAACAGCATGTTGAATGGCATGGAGTCCGCAGAACTGGCCTACCCTCTCTACGAACCAGGTCGGTCACATACACCCACTGTCACACTTCAGTTCCACACCATTCCAGTGCTGCTTACTGGCTGATTGTCATTGGGGGTGTGTATGTGTTTTGTGTTGCTCAGTGGAGGGTGAGACGGTCGAGGAGCAGCCTCCGCTGTCTGAAGGGAGTCTGAAGGAGTCACTGAAGAAGCAGCTGGAATTTTGCTTCTCAAGGTAACACCCACTGTACACCCAGACATGCTAACACCTGCTCCCCCATATTACGTAATTGTGTTAGAGATGAATAGAAAATCATAATCATCTGCACAGTAGAGCAGTGCTTATTTACTCTTGCTTGAGAAAATTCTCATTCACTAATTAAATGCAATGTCATAATGGACCTATGATATTGGAAGTGATTTGATGTAGATGATCCGATTGAAGCCATTTTATTTGGCAGTATTGTAGTTGTCGGTTGCGAAATAAGGACAGTTTAATTTGAATATGACACTTAAAAAAAATAAAAATCTCACCCAAATATTGAATGTCCTTTTTTTTAACTTTCTCATTGCGGTCTCATTGCCCAATATGGCCATTGGATGCCAAATGTAATTTAGTGTCATGTGACTAATTGGAAAGTCCGTAATTGTTCAATAACCCATTCCTGAGGTAATCAAAAAAAAAAATATTTTTTTTGGTTTTTATTAGTGGTTGATCAATACTTATTATATATATGCGGTATATATAATATATATATATACCCCCTTGCCATTGCGGAACTCTCTAATGACTTTTGATCAAGAACGCATGCAGCTTGTAAATGAACATGGAAATGAATAATAATAAAGTAGTCTTCTTTATTATTAAAACGGCAAATTATATTTACAATAATAAAATAAAATATTTATTTCTATAACTTTGTTGTTTTTTTCGATATCTTTTGAGTTTAATGGGAATTATGGAACAGTCTTTGTGATCGTAGTAACCCATTCTTTGTGCAATAACTTATTATAAGAATAACTACCTGCGAAAGCTGCAGAAAGAACAAGCCGAGCTCAACATGCGACAACATTGCTTAGTTCTGGTGAGTTGTGCTAAACTTCGATTCCTATTTCTTTAGACATTGTTTTTCAGGTAACAGTCCGTGGATATAACACTATATATAAACACTATATATTCACTCGTCCAAATAAAATATGTTGAAACTTTGAATAATTCATCGTTTGTAACAGCAAATTATCATTAATATTATTTTACTATTCCTTAGGCTACATTTATAATAACCTTTTTAAAGTGCAACATAAAATAGGCTTTTTGTCTGATTTGGGTTTGAGAGAAAAAAAACGACATCTGTCATTTAAATTTATAAGCAAAATATGAACACAACCGTTGGCTTGTAGCCATTGCGAAATTAACCCTTTCGCACGTGAGTTTAAAATATTCTAGCTGAGCCCCCAGAGTGAGTTTTTTTTTTTAGGCGACCATTATTTTAAAATGTATCGCCTTACTGTTTCTATGGCGACGCGTCATGCTTGTCATGTGACGCAACGCAGCCACAATAGATCTGTATGACACATGGATCGCTTTTATTTCGTTTTTCCTGTTTTATTCAATATATTCACAAACATGCTCACTATATTATGAAATATCTGATATTCCGATTCTGAAATATGTGCAATTAAATCTATTTGGTAGTTTAAACACTTTTATATCGACCGTGTTAGTTGATCTATACCGGGTGATGGGCGCCGCCATGTTAGTTCGCGCTGAATCCGAGCTGTGGGATTTACAACACGCAAATTCATCCTCTCCTCCCGAAACACGTTAAAGTAGGTCTCCGGTAAACTGGGAGAAGAGCCGTGTAAACTTTATTGTTACCTACACAATCTGTATATGATATCAATAAAAATATGTCGTCAGATTATATTTGTAAGGATCATTATTGCCGTTTCCATAAACATCAGCGTGCATTTTACAAACTGTAAAAAGTTCTAATCACACCGGTGTGATCGTACGCTTCAGGGACCAGCCAAGACTGATCACACCGGTGTGATCGTATGCGTCAAAGGGTTAAATCATTTTTTAACCAAACAATTTAACATTCCTGAGAAGAATGTCCCGAGTCAGACTTGCCTGACGTGGGTTTCTTAGCAGTAAATTGACCATTTTCCAGTCCAAGTTGAACGTCCTTCCAGGACAGCGCATCCACACTGCTTTGCCATCCTTATTCTGCTCTGTCACTCATCGACAACCAGTGGTGGACGAAGTACACAAATCAAGTACTTGAGTAAAAGTACAGATACATATAATAAAATATTACTCCAGTAAAAGTACTCCTTTTTCAATTTTACTCGAGTGAAAGTACAAAAGTACTAAATTTTTTTTTATGTACTTAAGTAAAAAAGTACTGATAGATTTATTTTGCAATTTTATATAGGCTACTTAATTTAAATTTATATTAGCACATATTTTTTATAATCCTACTGCTCAAAATACCTGGGATTTTCCCAAAATAATCACTATACGGAGTCAAGATATATTTTTGTTGTTGATATGGACTACGTTGACGAGAGTGATGTAGTAATGTTCACTGTGAAGCTTACACTGCGACACCGATCCAGGGTTTCTATCATCAAATCAATTTAATTAAATAAGTACATCGAGGGAAGATGTGTTCATGTTCACTGTGTTCATTTCAGTGGTGGACGAAGTACACAAATCAAGTACTTGAGTAAAAGTACAGATACATATAATAAAATATTACTCCAGTAAAAGTACTCCTTTTTCAATTTTACTCGAGTGAAAGTACAAAAGTACTAAATTTTTTTTTATGTACTTAAGTAAAAAAGTACTGATAGATTTATTTTGCAATTTTATATAGGCTGCTTAATTTAATTTTATATTAGCACATATTTTTTTATAATCCTACTGCTACTCAACCACTAAATTGAGTCTAAAAACACCCCTGGCCAAATGCCCCCAGAGGGCATCACTTCCCACTTTGATAATTACTGTAGTTACCATGTTCTGAACATTCATACGTATGTCTTTGGCTTTTGCGCTGTTTTTCAGCATACTGTTTCAAGTGTTGTGTTTAAGACGAAGTTAAATTTTTCAGTGCGTCTTGAGACATTTCTTGCAACGCCAAAAATGTCAGATAAGGATAACTGTAACCATCTGCATTTATATAAGGCTTCCTTAGGATCAAATAGTTGACTAATCGTTCAGGAAACCTACTGACTAGTCTAGTTTGAAAATGTGTAGTTTTGCACATGGTACAGTGTGTAGTAGGGCTGAATGATTTTGGAAAATAATCTAATTGTGATTTTTTTTACCAATATTGCGATTGCAATTTAATATGCAAATTTTTTTTTTTAAAGCTCTTTATGTTCTGTATTATTCAACAAAGACAAGCTATAAATCATTGTATAGTATGACCAACACACTATTAGATAGATTAAACATAAATGTTCTTTTCTGTAGGCCAGGCCTATATGTTACGATGAAATTAGGTGATGCATGAATTGATATGAATGACATTTTTATTTAACAACTACAATCACAGTACATTGACTGATTTGTTGAACTTCCAACCTTGTAAGCATGTAATAATTATGACAACATAAAGCACTGACAAATAAGCCTGGTGTAAACATTAATATGAAAGTCAGTAACAAATCACACAAACTAAAGTAGATTGCAATTATCGCAAATGCAATTAATCGTTCAGCCCTAGTGTGTAGGAATGATTCTGTATTCCAGAAGGAATGCACACTTATGTGAAAAGTTACTGTAGTTCTCAGGTCTATTTTTTTTTTTCTATTTGCATGTGTAAACTTAAGCAAACGAGTCCTTTAGTGTTGTGATAACATGATAGTATTCAGTACTCCATCAATGGAATATGCAAATCATGCAATGGAGGCTTTTAGTTAGCAAAGCAGACATTGAAATTCTGTTTTCCCACTATATACACTTAAGTATTCAAAGATTGGTCCCACTTTATATTAGGTGGCCTTAACTACTATGTACTTAAAATAAGTACAATGCACTGTGTTCAAATTGTATTGCAAAGCACTTTTGCTGCTATTGAGGTGGGATACGGGTAAGACTAGGGACAGGCTTGGAAGTATGGGTAGGTTTAATGGTGGGTTAGGTGTAGAGCCCGACCGATATATCGTTTTGCTGATATGAGCCTGTCGCCGATATAACACTTTTTTTTACAGAACATATAACGCAGATAAAATTCTTGAAATGGTGTAATTACTTAGTTTGTCCAGCAGAGCCCACTCCATTGTTTGCTACTGGCGACCTGGATGAAACGCTTTAAAGGGGTCATATGATGCTTTTTTTAAAGATCATTATTTTGTGTATTTGGTGTAACAGAATATGTTGACATGCTGGTGTAAGGGATGGGTCAACAGTGTAATTATAAATTTAATTACAGATGTAATTGCATGCAGGTATTTTATAGATATAAGTACAATGTAAAAACATGTATTAACACAATAAGTACACTGTACCAAATGATTAATTTTAAATGTAAATACATAGTAGTTAAGGCCACTTAATAAAGTGGGACCCAAAGATTTTATCCATTGGAACTCTTATATGCACACTGACCCTGCAGTGCAAGTGTTCAACATCTGTTCATTACATTTGTTTCCTACAGAGAGAATCTCTCCAAGGACCTTTACCTGATGTCTCAGATGGACAGTGATCAGTTTGTCCCTATTTGGACTATTGCAAGCATGGAGGGGGTCAAACTGCTGACTACTGATATGGACCTGATACTTGAGGTGCTACGAGGTAAAACAAACAAAACCTGACCACAGTTTCAAAGTTTGTTCATGCCTTGCAATGCTTTAATTCCTTGTTTTCTGTCCTCCTTAGCTTCTCCCATGGTGCAGGTGGATGAGAAAGGTGAGAAGGTACGGCCAAACCACAAGCGATGCATCATCATCCTCAGAGAGGTTCCTGAGACCACGCCTGTAGAGGTGAGACCACACTTTATGGTCATCTCTTGTGGCTGTATATGGTAGAGCTTGGTTATCATTACTGTGGTCACACCGATGATTAGGGCTGGGCAAAAAAATAGATTTTTCGATATATCGTTTTTTAAAATGGGGTCGATTAAATATCTATTCTAAAAGGCCACGAATCGATTTTTTTCAATATTTATTTCCGCAAACATTGAACATAAGATTTACGTTAATCTTATTACTAGTCTAATCCACTAGATGTCACCCCCTTATTTGCCTTGCGCGATGTTACAACGGAGAGTCCGTCATTCATTCATTACTTAAAATGGCGGATTCAGGTGCGTTCCCGACGTCAACACTACCTTCACATAAAAAGTCAGAGGTATGGAAGCATTTTAGATTTCGCAAGCACGATGACAAAGATACTGTGGACAAGAACAAAGCTATATGCCAAACAGTTGATGGGCCCTATTGACTTGACTTCCATAGTATGGAGAAAAATATATGGAAGTCAATGGGGACCAAAACGGTTTAATTATCCATATTCTTCAAAATATCATCTTTTGTGTTCAACAGAAGACAAGAAATTCATACATGCATAAATGATGACAGAATTTTTTTTTTTGGGTGAACTATCACCCAAAAGCCAGTATTAGTTTTCCTACACCGTTCATAGGCTTGCAGCCTCCATGTTACAGCTAATGCTGTGAGATTTTATGTTTGTTTTGTCTTAAACATAAAATAACCTGATCCTGTTTGATCAAGGCATGCGACTGTTCTGACTTGTCCAATTTTCAGCATCAGTTTTTCATCTTGCATCAAAATTCTGTCTATTCATTGTATACATTTGAAATATATAGTGGGGTTTTGTTTTATTGTACCCAAGTGTACCTAAAATAAAAAGTGTTTAATATACAGGTTTGTGGCTCTTAATTTCCTTTTATTAATTAACCATTTGTAATCTTATGTTCACTGTTCATTTTTTATAAATATAGGATTTGTATTAAATCTATATTCATTCATATAGTCAAATCGAATTTAAATCGAATATCGAATCGAATTGAGAGCTTGAAAATCGAATCGAATTGGAACATCTGAATCGATACCCAGCCCTACCGATGATGATCAGTATTGCGCTTGGAAGGATCCAGAACCATTGCTGCTGTTGAGAATTCATTGCTCCCCCCCCCCTCGCTCACTCATTCTGTCTCTCAGTACAGTGGATTTTGCCCTAATGATTATGAGATCTGAGGGATATCTGGCCTCTTGTTTGTCAGTAGTTTTCACTTATTCTTTTGATTTGCTGGCTGATGCTTTTGTCTCTCTGTCAGGAGGTGGAGGCCCTGTTTAAAAGTGAAAAGTGTCCGCAGGTTATCAGTGTGGAGTTTGCGCACAATAACAACTGGTACATCACATTCCAGTCTGACACTGATGCTCAGCAGGTATTATTGACAAACACACACAAAAGGCCTTTCTCATGGAATAGATGTCTGTATAAATAATTGGTAAAAATCATATGGGAGGATGGTGTGCCACCATATTGTGTTTTTTTTTTTACTTGTTTTAGTTTAGATCATATGATGCAAGTAAAAATTGCCTGAATTTATTTCCTGTAATATGGCTTATGACTTTCTAATCTGTATTATGTGTAACTTTCTGTTTGCCATTATAGTTATTTATTAAATATGGTCATAAGGAAATCTAAAAAGCAGTAGTTAAAGACTTTCCCTTTGTTTTATATTAATTGCTCCATTTGAAAAATGCTGCATTTGAAAGGGTTAAAACATTGTAACTGCTGCAATAATTGTCTGATACACTAATAAATACGCACATTCGCTCTGCTGTTATTGCATTAATGATGCCTAAAGTGTTTTTGCTTTTCTATGTTGGTTTATTAAATGCAAACGTTTTTTCTGGATTGACTAATGTCACATTGTTTTACAGGCCTACAGATACTTGCGTGAGGAAGTCAAAACCTTTCAGGGCAAACCAATTATGGTGAGTGTTCATTGTGCTGCCATCTCTCCTGTTAGGTCAGCTGTAATTTAAGCACCCTGAATGTGTGCATTCCTGGCCGCCACTTCAAATACAGCATGTGTCACCTTGACCACTCCGAATGCTGTCATGATTAACAGGATTCTCTGAAGTACTCAACTTTGACCCTTGTTCTTTCAACCAATCAGTGATCAGTTATCCCATTAATATGTAGCCAATTGGAAAGACCCCACAGACAGTGTATAGGATTATGTAATCCACAAACCAGACTGTTTTTGCGCTGTTCAAAGTCTCTTGCTTTAACTTGTACAATAAAATGCACTTTATCTTGTGCAACCCACATCTATAAATGGTCAAACTAAAGGCATCTGTATGAGTAATGCATGAGATGCGTTTGTGCCACATGAAGGGAATCTTCTCTCAAGCGCCCTGCTGAGACACTGGTAGACGTTTATAACAGTAATTGCTGGATTAGGGAGGTGCATGTACTGTTTTATTTGTTTAGACAAATGTGAATACTGACTTATCATTTGTGGTCTCCCTTCAGTTTCACAACTGAGTGTAACCCATAATCAATTATCTTTTAGATGTTCTGGGTTTAATACAGGTGTCTCTTTGTATGTTTGTGTCGGCAGGCTCGAATCAAGGCCATAAACACGTTCTTTGCTAAGAACGGTTATGGGGCCGTTGACTCTGGGGTTTACTCCACTCCATCACAGTACTCGTCTCCAGTTTACCTGCAGCAGGTGTACCAGCCTCCACAGCAGTACCCTCTCTATAGCCTCCTGCCACAGACATGGACCCCCTCACCGACCCCTTACTTTGAAACGCCACTGGTGAGAACTTAATCTTGAAATATGTTGAAGTGTGTTAAAAAGGAATCAAAGGATTCAAGTGATTCACAGTGAGAATCCCCCATATAATAAAATTAACACTACCACCTGTTCTAATGTGCTGATTTGGTGCTCAAGAAACAATTCTTATCACAGTTAAAATGGTGCTACATAAAATTGAGCATGTATAATGGTTTTCTCTGAATTATTAGAAACAGTTTTTATTTGAAATACACATTTTTGTAACAATGTAAGAGTCTTTACTGTCACTTCATGAATTTAACACTTCCTTGCTAAAAGGTACTTTTTTTTTTTATATATAAAAAAAAAAAAAAGAATTTCAGAAACCTGTTTAGAAACACAAATGTAGCCGTTTATGAAAGAAGTATATGAAAAATGTGGAAGTTTTGACCCAGTGATGATAAACTTTAGCGCATAGAGGGAAGCAGGGAGTGATCAGAAGATTTTGGGAGTTCTTTTTCTTCTCCTTTTCTGCTACTTTTATCTCACTTTTCTTCTGTTGCTGTCTCTCCCCCCTTTAAGTCTCTGTCACTCCTGACCCAGTGAGCGTTAAGATTATGAGATCTGAGGGTCACTTTACTATTTGCTATGGCTGAGCATTGTAGCAGTTCATTTACAGTCATTTTAGAGTCACTTTGAAAGTGTCTCATCAAATAAGCTATTTTTTATGTTAGCCTTTTATTTTGTTGTCTTTGTATTGCAGTCATGAAAGCTGATAGTCACAGTGGGTCTCCTAGTTTGTAATCAGGGTTGTGATTGCAGGCCGAGCTGCAGGGGACTTGCTGCAGTGAAGTCAGGGCAGTTGAATAATTTTTGAATGGTTACCATGCCAACAGTTATTTGGTTCATTTAGCACAGGGGTGTCCAAACTCGGTCTTGGAGGGCCGGTGTCCTGCAGAGTTTAGCTCCAACCCTAATCAAACACACCTGAACCAGCTAATCAAGCTCTTACTAGGCATGCTAGAAACTTCCCGGCAGGTGTGTTGAGGCAAGTTGGGGCTAAACTCTGCAGGACACCGGCCCTCCAGGACCGAGTTTGGGCACCCCTGATTTAGCATATCACAGTAATGTAAAGAGGTGCTTTGGCCATGTGTCACAAAAATGTGAATTCAGTTTGTAGTAGTTTGAGGATGTGTGGGTTAAAGGCACTATATGTAAGATTTTTTTATTAAAATATCCAATAACCACTAGAACAGTGTTATATATATTTTGCTGACTTGTGTACTTGCATTATCCCAAATGTTTCGAAGAATGTTTAAATCCAGAGAAATAAGCAATTTTAACTAGTGACACGGACCGTGTCCATAGTGTCATTGTGTTGCCTGCCAATGACGTCATAACCCCTCGATTTCCCCTCGGATTTGTTTTGTAGAAAACATGGAAACACCAAAGAGGCTTTAATATGTTATACGTTTTATTAGACCGGTGACGACCGCACAGAGTAGCATTCTAACAGAACTTTCAAATGTATCTAGTATGATAAAACAGCGCTGCTTTACCCCACACATACGCACGACCGGAAGGAGCGGAAGCAGTCGACTGTGGCATAATAAAAGCTCCGCTGCTTTCGAACCGTGTGTCGCGCTCGTTCAGCGGCCTCGTTTCGCTTCGACGGCTTTCAGCCTCACCCTGCTTCATTCTACTACGTTAATAAATCATTAGCTCATCCATGAACATGATTTCTGCCCGAGTCCCGTCAGATTGCATCGGCTGTGGGGATGAAGACGACAACTCCCATGATTCCACACTCAGTCACAGCGTCATCAAACTACGCCTTTTATTTTGAATACGCGCCCTCTAGTGGTGAAAAATTACATATTGTGCCTTTAATCTCAGCTGTTGATTCATCTTGCAGGCTCCATTTCCCAACAGCACATTTGTTAATGGCTTTGGCACAGCAGGAAACTACAAAACTGGCTCCTCTCCAATCAGCCTTACGCGCAACTACCCCCGCAACCGGTAAGATCCTGAAACCTACATTTTGTTTCAAGAATCTCTTTCTTAGTCTGTTCCTTTCCTTCTCTGCCAAAAACGTAATAGGTTGTTTCTTCAACCATGGGAACTTTATATCCCAAGGGCTGGTTTTTAATCAAATCTGACTTGTTTTATGAAGGTCACGGTAGAACCATCTTGTAGACATTAACTTGCTTTGCTGCATTTCAAATATGTTTGCAAGGTTTGGTTTTATATCGAATTCATTTGGCAGACACTTTTGTCCAAAGCGGCTTACATTTTAAGCTATACATTGCTAAAAATTAGTCAAACTCATGACCTTAGCATTGCTTAGTTCCCTGTTCTACCACTTGAGATGACATAAACACTAAACAATTCTGGTAATTGTGCAAATTATTTATAATACTTAAGCAAATTACAATTGTACCTCAGTTATTGTGCATCCTTTCCAATTGAATTTGCTGTACTTTTTGTCCAAGTGTGAAATTTGTTGAGGTTTACCTACATTGATTTCCTCTCATGTACAGAAAGTTAGGCAGAGCTCTGTTTGACGCACTGGAGTCACAATGACTTTGTTCCTTTACTTTCTAGACTTCCACTTTATTCCAGAAAGAATGTAATCAATTCCTTCAGGTAGATATGCTCTGCTTTTACTGGAGCATTTCTTCATTTTAAATGATCATCTTTTGCATGTTCATGTACCATGCAAACTGCTTTAAAAGATTAGAATGCCAGGACTGCACTGGGGTGATTAAAATGTTTGGGTTTATGTTAGACCAGGGGTAGGCAAGTTCGGTCCTAGAGAGCCGCAGTCCTGCAGAGTTCAGCTCCAACCCTAATCAAACACACCTGAACGTTATAGCTAAGGGATGGGCTTCAAAAATAACCAGAACGTTTAGTGTTATTCAACTATGAGCAAGCACTCCATAGTTATTGACCATCATGACTCAGCTAAAAGCTGCATCTTGATGCACAGTGAATGAATGTCAGTGCAATGTCATCAGATCTGTCATGTGACCTTGTCCTTGCATGTATCATCTGTTGCTCTGCGTGTATAAGAGTTTCCTGATGGTGTCTTGTGAAGTACATGCATTATTAAAAACAATCTACATAGGGGTTTGCCTTGATATGAGATCTACAGGACAAGTTAGCCAGTGGCGCATTTATTGCCAAAATAGGTTTAATGACAAATGAGACATGCATAATTTTGGCTGTAAGGAAACAAGCACAGTATTTTACACCAAGTAAGATTAGGGGCAGTTGTAACAAGTGCTGATCATATTTATCATGTTAGAATAATCTTTCACTTTAGAATCAAGAACAGTCTTTTAGGTCTGTTGTACTTTTTTTTTCTTTTTTTTTTTTTCTCTACTTTTTTGTGGGCTTTTAAAAAAAAAACTTTAAGCAAAATTTAAAAGAAACATGCAAGTTTGGAATTAGGGGCTTACACAGGCAGAATTCTATTTGCTTGTTGGTTCATCTGTTGGTTTAGTTTATATTGGTTTTTCTGTGCTGCTAAATGGGAGAACATCTGCAAAAGAAATGAAAATGGTGTTACTCTTCAGGAACTTCTCAACCAAACAGGCTTTTTTCTTGTCACTACATATGTATATCACCTCCATTTGTGATGCTTGTTCTGCACAGCCAAAGAGACCACCCTTAAAGCCCAGCTGGACAAACTATCTGTTCCACAGTTGTTTACTCAGCTTTGCTTTGGCTTTGGAGGCTCGGTTATAGTTGCATGCAGTCACCTGATTTTTGTGTTCTGTGCAGGAATCATGTAAAGCCACAGCCTCATGCTGACGTGTGTCAGCTGACAGAGACTTCGTCTGGTACCGATAGTCCCCAGCCTCCATGCACTCCTACTTCAGACACCACTGCCTCCTCCCTCACGCCGCTCTCTGAACCGCCAGTTTCCCCCAGAGAGAACCACCACTCAGACCTCGGCATCAGCAGCCGGGCCAGGTCCGTTTTTTACGTGTGTGTGTGTATGTATATATATTTTAAAATAAATTTAACTAAGCAGCAGATTTGGTTGTTTTGACCCAGTGATGATCAACTAAGCGCATAGAGGGAAGCAGGGAGTGATGGGAAGACTTTAAGAGTTCTTTTTCTTCTCTCTGATCACTTCTCCTTCCTCTTCTTTTGCTTTCTCTCTCTCTCCTTAAAGTCTCTGTCACTCTTGTCCCAGTGAGCGGAAAGATTATGAGATCTGAGGGTCATCTGTTGAGTGTGTTCACTGAACGGTGACCGGGTTGCTGATAGGATTGTATTTAACGACTTGTGATGTGTCTAGGAGAGGAAGCTATCGTGGTATGAGGAAGAGAAGAGAAGATGAGAGAACGGTAAGTCCTAAATGTTTATTACATGGCTCTCTGAAGTACTTCATTTTTATTGCCCATTCTTGCTCAATTATTTGTGCTTCTCATTTCATTTGTGTTTCATTTTTCACAGAGGCCGAATCCTGAATCAGAAGTGAAAGCTCCACCCCCTAAGTTTGACCTCGCAACCACTAACTTCCCGCCATTGCCAGGAGGTGTCCCGAGTCGTCTGCCAGGGGTGACCACGCAAACTGAGTCGGTGTTGGAAAATCGCATGGCAGATGTAGTTAAGGGCATTAGCAGGGACAAGGTAGTAAGAACTACTTCCTGTAACCATTTATTCTCATTTACATTTGTTCTGCTTGTACACCGAGAATCTCAGATATCACTCAAGTAAAGTTACTATTTTTCTGTGTTTGTTTAGCCGGAAACATGTAAGCAAGATGTCAGTCAAGATCCTGGAACATGTCCAGTGGAAGCTCAATCGACCGGACCCTCTACTCCAGCGCCAAAGCTTCCTGCCACAAAACAGGACACACCTACCACTAGGTACACGCATACATGTACAGTAGGATCTTATATTTTGAAGAATTTAACAATGTGTTAAAGAATCACATTTTCATTGAATAATACTTTTACTAATACTATTATTTATCTAGGTTTAAATTAGTGAATTTTAATATAATAAAATATAATTAATTGTAGTACCTATTTGTTATTAATGTTTTAAATATTCTAAAAATTAACACTGTTTTTGCTATACATATTATCAAAACAATTTGATTCAAATTTATGCACTTAAAAAATATATAATTGAAACGTTGTACAAATAGAAGCAGGTTGATTCAAATCACATTTCTCTCTACAGTACGTCAAATCAAGTGAAGAGACCTGAGAAAGAGGTCCAGGTCTCCGACACACCTCCGGACCATGCGTCGGTGACTACAAAGCATGTCCAGCCCATTTCTGCCCCCAAACCTTCACGCAGCCAATCAAGCACTTCAAGCACTGCATCTACACCACCTGTCCTAACAAGCACAACTGTCCAGGTAAATGCATTCATGTGCTAAATTATATATCTTCCTGTTGCTCGTTCACATCTGAAGGTCGGAATGGTGATGTCTGTTAACTTAAACGTTTTTTGAATCCCCTCAGGAGCCTCGGAAGCTGAGCTATGCGGAGGTGTGTCAGAGGCCACCCAAAGACCCACCCCCTGCACCGGCTGCCCCGCCCAGCCCCAGCCCCAGCCCCACCCCTTCTCCCACCACAAACCAACCACTACGTGAACTTCGCGTCAACAAAGCTGAAGGCCCAGCCTCATCCCGCTGCAGTCCTGGCGAGAAACTGGAGAAAGGAAATGAGAGTCGGACGTCCAGAGAGCAGACTGGCTACCAACGTGGTAACGGCCCCAGAGGGTCAAGTTTTAAGCTCAGAGAGCAACAGAGATGGCCTCTACAGGGTCGGCGCTCCTCTCCACAGACGGGGTACTACAGACGCAGTGGAAAAGAACAAAACATCCCACCCAGATCGCCAAAGTAATGCCTCGTATGCCCACAACACACATGCACTCTTGTGTGTATGCTTAGATACACAACTTATATATATATGAAAGTAAGAGTATATAAATCTATATATATAAATATCTATATATAAATCTACATATGAAAACTGGACTGTCGCACTGTGGTGTCGAAGAACCCTCTGCTTCCCAAATGACTGCGATATCTGGGAAGTTCCTTAAAAATACAGAAGAAATATAGGAATTTAAGATGGAAAAACCTCTTACACTTGAAAGGAGAAATGGAGACTATGCTTCCTGTGTTGTCTGTGATTTACATCAATTAATTAGCTTGTGAATGAGTTTTGATTTTACTTGGGGTGTTTAAGGTCCTGGCACTAGTGTACAACGCTGTACATTTATTTATATATATATATATATATATATAAATGGTAGTAGTACTGTTGGTGAGAAATCAAGCCAGCACATGTTCTCCATATGCAACAGATCACACAAAGACAGCATGGCAACACCCCACCGGTCCATGAGTCACCTGTGTATTTTTTCTTTTTTTCTTCTTCTCCCCACTACTTCCTATGTTTGCACCAGTCCTAAAAGGGGCTGGGGAAAAATTTTTATTCAGATGTGATGCTTTTAAAAATGAAAGATGCACGGTGATTCATAACTGTTTTTTCTTTCATTTATTCAAAATGTGCACAAGATGAAACGTAAAATATTGATACAAGGTTCCCACAGTCCTGGAAGACCAGGGAATTTTTAAAGTGAGATTTGGACACTAGGAAAAGTGAGTCATATCACTATTATAATTAATTCTTCAGCTATAAATGTAATATGAGTGATTTTTAAATTATTTATAAAAATGTATTGACCTGAACATGGTGGAAACTTGTTGATATTTGGCATGTCATTTAAACTGCTCTTAAGCAGGTATTAAGGGTTTCACATGATTTGTAAAGCGAATCAGTTGTGCACATATGCCGTTGTATTGTAATTGCTTCGTGACTGAATCAAAATTAAATTGAGGTGCCTATGGATTCCCACCCCAGTCTAAAACTGGAAGACAAGTGTGTGTACGTTGTTCAGACAAAGGAAGAGGGAAATGTGTAGGTTTGAAGGACAGCAAGAATGAACAAGAAGTTTGTCATGAAGAATGGATGAAATGGTACTAGACATCCATTGAAAAAAGATTTGGACATTGCGGTGTATATTCAAGGTGATTTGAGTTGGTGTGTCGTTTTGTATAATGTCGTATTGTGTCATCTGTGATGTCCAGTGTTTCTGAAGGCTGGGTCTGTCAGTAACCGAAAGATCAAGCTGCTTTATTGAAAGAATGAATAGAAATCATTCGTGTAGATGAGCAAAACCACAGTTTGTCTTCCTTTCCCTTGGGAGTGCAAGTCTTGTTAGTGTTTTCTAGTGATCAGGTTGTTTGTAGTGTCTGCTTTTGACAATTTCTGTTCTATTTTCTTTTTTTTTAATTAATTTTTTCTCCCTCTGCTGTAGATGCTGGTGACAATAATCAGGTTGGATTTTATGCTCAGAGTTAGTGTGCTGCTTTAGAATCGCCGTTCATGTCCAGTCTGTGATTGAGTCAGTCTGTGTTTTTCTTTGTATGTTTGTTTAATGATAATATGTATGTGACGCTTGCGTTTATGCCTGTACATTTCAGGTATGATTACATGTAATATACCTGCTACAGCACTCATAATGTACCCGTCATCCAATCTCATGTTGACTTTGGTAAAAGAGAGGGAACTCAGGACCTCAGAGGAAATCGGTGATGTCTATGACTGCTAACTTTGTCCAATGCTTACTGTAGGATTTTTTTATTTTTATTTGTAGCCTTTTGAATTCAGTAACCACGTTAAACTGTTTAGGGGTCTTACGTTTCAGTTAATGTATATTTGAATGTTTTAAAAACGTTTAATCAGTTACACTGTAATGCATGATCTCTCCTCAATTTGTTTTCCCTCCCATCCTTATCGTCTCATTCACATGCATGGATGGGCTGTGCACAGATCCAGACCAAAGTCAAATCAGCAGAGAGACAATCTCAGGAAGTGCTGTTAAATGCAGTAGCTCCTCCCTCACTCCTCTCTTATCATTCTGCCATGAGCAGGGCCACCATTGAATGAGTGAGTGGTTAAAATCATGATTGTTGATTAGTGAGTTGAACAATGTATGTTTTCGTTTTATGAAACTTTGTGTAGAACCTTGTAAAGGTGTCCTATGAAAAAATTCTCAAAATCCCCTACTTTCTATATTTGACCGTTTCAGACGAAAGGATGGAGGGAAAGTTCATGCATCAGTTTTATTGTTTTGTTTTATTTTGTTTTAAATAGTCTGTTTCTTTAACTTTATTTAGTGTGGCTTTCTTGCCCTAACGTGTGTTATTAGTTTGACATGTTTTCAGATTTTTGTTTTCTATATTTGGCAATATTATCCTTGGGCACAAATTATTTCAAACTGCCACTAAAATTAAAAAAAAAAAAATCAGTGGACCTGGTTTTCTTTTTTTTAATTCTTTTATCTGAATTAATGGATTTGATTCATAGCTGGTTGGTGAAATGGAATGTATTATGTTTTGTTGCTAATCTTATAACCTGTGTAGGCTGTAAGCTTTTTAGACATGAAATGGTGCAGTTACGAGTAGCAAGTCTTTAGCCAAAAAAAGAAAAACAAGTATTGTCCTTTTCTTTTTAATTATATAGGGGGGGTAGACATGGAGTGTAGACTGAGTGGAGTGTTTTGGATGATATTGTAGATGTTCAATGGGGGAAAAAAAAAATGCTGAAAGAAAAAAATAAATGATAAAATGATTTTAATCTGTGTTTGATTTTTATTCTTGAACAACCTGTAGAAAATGCTTTTTTTTTAAATAGCAATAGCAATTGCTTATAATTAACCAAATAGTAAATGGTCCTGAGTGTTTCAACACACACAGAACAAAAGTAATACATTCTTTGTATTATAAAACCCTTGTGACTTTCTTTGCCTGTCAAGTTGCAAAATGGTATTTACTTGAATACAAAGTGATCGTGTAATATATTTTTTCATTAATTATCATTAATCATTAGTTTAAAAAATGAAGGTGGGGGAAAATCCTATTAGGATTAGTCCCAAACTGATATTCATATGGAAATCGTCTACCTATTCTTTTGGGAGTTTTTTTTTTTTTAACCCCCCAACTGGGACATTTTGTAGTATCAATCGCAATGAATAAATTGCATCGCACTGAATTGAAAATGTGAACGACATTTTATTGCAATTCTTTGCGGATTTGAATAATTTAAAGAAGTCTAATCAGTTAATGGTTATCATTCCGTGATATTCTTACAAAAAAAAAAAAAAAAAGCTATAAGGGCTTTATTAAGAGTATTTTTTTTTCGCCAGTAATATACCCGTTTTCATTTGACGCGGTTGGTGTGCAGCACAGAGATGCGTAAACTAGAGCACCGGATTTTTCACCACGGCTCCAAATCTGTTACGTAACGGCTTAAATCTGGTTTTGAGTATTACCTCAACATATCGCGAGATTTACATATTGTGAGCAAACTGGATGAAGGAGTTCCAAAGGTGGGAACGCGGAGAGAGGGCACGAGCGAGAGAGGGAGGAGCAGGGTAAGTTTGTAAACACTGAAACCCTTGGCTGATGAACAGGTGACACAGAACACATTTGTATTATCTGATGCATTGCAGTTAGTGACTTAAAGTGTAGCGGCACTGGTCGCGCGAATGGTGGAGATGTCATGAGCACCATGTGTAATTTACACTGCGCGAGCCGCGACACAATTAGAACACTCCCATTATAACCATCGATCATAATCTAAGGCGCTGGCATTGTAGCTTCGTTTAATATAATGGGAGTGTTCTTGTTTTGTCCCTAAGCGTCGCTCGCTTGCAGTGTAAATGGGGTGTTACAGCCTGTTGGCTCATGTGTGGTTAGCATTAGCCTGTTAGCTTTAGTGATGGGAAGTCCGATTCGTTTCCGCGAATCGGTTCTTTTGGACAGTTCGTTTAAAAAAACTAGGTAAAATGATTCGGATATTACGTATGCTACCACGTAATTGCGTCATCTCGTGGTCACTGATTTGTCAACTTTTTGATATGAATTATAATTAATATCAGTGTGTCTTGTTTTAGTTGTTTTAAAACAATCTTATAGGACCTTAAATATTTCTACAACATTTTACTTTACATATTTTACTAACGTTTTTGCATGTGTTGGTAAAGCTGCCATGCAATCACGTCGTAAATATAGCTACAATATATTTTAATTGTAACATTAAAATAATTTTACGTTTTGGTTCACTTCAAATGCTTCTACTGTCAGTTCATTGATTCAGTCAGATTCGTGGACGAAACATTCGGACTGGTTTTGTGAACCAGTTCAACCAAAAGATCCGACTCAAAAGAACGATTCGTTCACGAATCGGACATCGCTAAGTAAGAACCTTTTAAACGAAACACAGCGCGCCAGGAGTTACGACAAATCTTCAGACACGTTATCGTTTCGTTATAACGGTTGTTACGACTTTATTGCATACTAGTGTGGAGTAATTTTATTGTATAGATAATTCTGGAATGGCTGACAGAGGAAACGCATGCTAGCTAGCGGTATGTGTTGGTGTGATAAAGCTATTGGGTTGAAGCGGGTTTAATTAAGCAGAAATGTTCTTTAAACAGGGATGATCTCAGACAATAGTCAAATGAAAGCGTCTTATCATGTAATCATCATGCACATTATGCAATCAGTTGAACCTAGCAGGCCTCTGCTGCAATGAAGTCTGGATTCCTGTCATCTGTCAAGAGACTGTACAACATTTCAAATGCAAAGTTTGGCAGGAATGATTTTAAATGGGGGTTTATGGTCAGATGACTGTTTAAACAATTGAGATGAAACGAACAGAATTTAGGTTTTTAAAAAGTCTGGGGTCTCATAAGATAAATCATAACTATTCTTTCTGGATGGTGTTTAGAAGTGACACAGGAAGTAGTTGATCTAAAATGGGAGACGATCGACCTTTTGTCTGCACTGCCCCAGGCTGTGGACAGGTAAGAGCTATTTTCTTGCATTATTACTCTTAAATTCTCCTTTTTATGCCGGTCATGTCCTTCTGCATAAGGTGTATAATAAAGTATAAGGATCCTTTATGGCCCTTAATCTTGGGGCCAGAAACAGATTGTTGCCCCAAATTTTTATTCTAAAATCACACCAGCTGTTTTAATCCCTGCTTCCACTGAGCAACTGTAAGAGGCTCCCATAGCACTGCATAACTGGATAACATAAGCCGTCATCAAAACAACAGATGGCCTGATATCATCCACTACTTCTCTGTTTCTAGCTTCCATCTGATTTGAATTAGGATGAGATGCAAATTGACTGAAAACTTTGCAGCGGGTTAATGCATGTGTCTCTGTTTCTCTCATGTCAGAGGTTCACCAATGAGGACCATTTGGCAGTGCACAAACATAAGCATGAGATGACGCTGAAGTTCGGACAAGCTAGAACAGACACGGTTATCATAGCAGGTTTGTGTCCCCACATAGATGAATTTGTCATTGAGTGCTTATGTTAAGGCCTGTTTACACCAAGAACGATAATAATGTGTGTATTATAAGCACACGCTAAAATTGTAAATGTT